TCCCAAAATCCTTTGGAATTCCAGTTTTCCCACTCCAAATTCCCACAGAAAATTCCTTTAGGAATTCCCGTTTCCCATCCCAAATTCCAATGGAAAAAGTCTTTGGAATTCCGGCTTCCTTATCCTCAAATTCCCTTTGGAATTCTGGTTTTCCATCCCAAAATCCTTTGGAATTTTGAGTCTCCATCTGAAATTCCCGAGGAAAATCCCTTTGGAATTCTCATTTCCCATCCCAAAACCTTTGGAATTCCGGTTTTCTATCCCAAATTCCCTTTGGAATTCTGATTTCCCACCACCAATTCCCATGGAAAAAAAACCCTTTGGAATTCTCACTTCCCATCCCAAAAATCCCTTTGGAATTCCCATTTCCCATCACCAAATTCCAATGGAAAAAGCCTTTGGAATTCCGGCTTCCTTATCCTCAAATTCCCTTTGGAATTCTGGGATTGGCCGACAGGTCCAGGGACAGCAGGGACGGACAGGCGGGCAGGGACCTGGGAAAATGGGGAAAAATGGGCAAAAATGGGGAAAAATGGCACCAAAATGGGACCAAAAATGGTCAAAAATGGGACCAAAATTGGCACCAAAATGGTCAAAAATGGCACCAAAGTTGGGACCAAAATGGGACAAAATTGGCACTAAAATAGGAGCAAAATGGTCAAAAATGGGACCAAAACTGGCACTAAAATGGGAACAAAATGGTCAAAAATGGCACCAAAGTTGGTGCTAAAATGGGAACAAAATGGGAGCAAAATTGGGACCAAAATGGGACAAAATTGGCACTAAAATGGAACCAAAATGGTCAAAAATGGCACCTAAATGGGACCAAAAATGGCATTAAATTGGGAGCAAAATTGGCACCAAAATGGCCAAAAAAGGGATCAAAATGGGACCAAAACGGTCAAAAATGGCACCAAAATTGGCACCAAAATGGGAACAAAATGGGAGCAAAATGGCCCAAACCAGCAGTGATGGACAGGCGGGCAGAGACCTGGGGGGGGGAGGGAAAAAATGGGGCAAAAATGGGGAAAAATTGCCGTCAAAATGGCACCAAAATGGGCACCAAAATGGGACAAAATTGGCACCAAAATGGGACCAAAATGGTCAAAAATGGCACCAAAATTGGCGCCAAAAATGGGAACAAAATGGGAGCAAAATTGGCACCAAAATGGTCAAAAATGGCACCAAAAATGGCACTAAAATGGGAACAAAATGGGACCAAAATGGNTTTCCAGATTTCCCCATTCCCAAATTTCCCCATTCCCAGATTTTTCCCATTTTTCCCCATTCCCAGATCTCCCCATTCCCATTTTCCCATTTTTTTCCATTTTTCCCCATTTTTCCCAGATTTTTCCCAAATTTTCCCCATTCCCATTTTCCCCATTTTTCCCATTGTTCCCCATTCCCATTTTTCCCATTTTCCCCAGATTTTTCCCAAATTTTCCCATTTTCCCCATTGTTCCCATTGTTCCCCATTCCCCTTTTCCAGATTTTCCCTAGATTTTTCCCATTCCCAGATTTTTCCAATTTTTCCCCATTTCCCCATTTTTCCCAGATTTTCCCCATTTTCCCCATTCCCATTTTTCCCATTTTCCCATTTTCCCCAGATTTTTCCCATGTTTTCCCATTTCTCCCATTTTTCCCCATTTTTCCCCATTTTCCCCATTTTCCCCATTTTCCCAGATTTTCCCATATTTTTCCCAGATTTTTCCCCATTCCCATTTTTCCCCATTTTTTCCCATTTTCCCCAGATTTTTCCCATTCCCATTTTTCCCAGATTTTTCCCAGATTTTCCCCATTTTCCCCTTTTCCTATTTTCCCATTTTTCCCAGATTTTTCCCAAATTTCCCCCTTTTCCCATTTCCCCCATTTTTACCTTTTCCCAGATTTTTTCCCATTTTTCCTATTTTCCCCCATTCCCATATTTTTCCCATTTTTCCCCAGATTTTCCCCATTTTCCCCCATTTTCCCATTCCCATTTTTCCCATTTTTCCCAGATTTTCCCCAGATTTTTCCCATTCCCAGATTTTTCCAATTTTTCCCCATTTTTCCAATTTTTCCCAGATTTTCCCCATTCCCATTTTTCCCATTTTTCCCCCATTCCCATTTTCCCCATTTTCCCATTCCCATTTTCTCCATTTTTCCCATTTTTCCCATTTTTCCCAGATTTTCCCCATTGTTCCCATTGTTCCCCATTCCCATTTTCCCCAGATTTTCCCCAGATTTTTCCCAGATTTTTCCGATTTTTCCCCATTCCCATTTTTCTCCATTCCCATTTTTCCCCATTCCCATTTTCCCATTTTTCCATTTTCCCCAGATTTTTCCCATTTTCCTCCAGATTTTTCCCAAATTTTCCCCATTCCCATTTTCCCATTTTTCCCAGATTTTCCCCATTTTCCTCATTGTTCCCCATTCCCATTTTTCCCATTTTCCCCAGATTTTTCCCAGATTTTTCCCATTCCCAGATTTTTCAGATTTTCCCCCATTTCTCCCAGATTTTCCCCATTTTCCCCATTCCCATTTTTCCCATTTTTTCCAGATTTTCCCCAGATTTTTCTGATTTTTCCCCATTTTTCCCATTTTTCCCACCTTTTCCCATTTTCCCCAGATTTTTCCCATTTTCCCCCCATTCCCATTTTTCCCATCTTCCCCATTCCCATTTTCCCATTTTCCCCAGATTTTTCCCATTTTTCCCATTGTTCCCCATTCCCACTTTCCCCATTTTCCCATTCCAAAATTTCCCATTTTTCACATTTTCCCCAGATTTTTCCCAGATTTTTCTCATTTTCCCCATTCCCATTTTCCCCCAGATTTTTCCCATTCCTAGATTTTCCCCACTTTTCCCCATTTTTCCAATCTTTCCCAGATTTTTCCCATTTTCCCCATTCCCATTTTCCCCATTTCCCCATTTTTTCCATTTTCCCCAGATTTTTCCCAGATTTTTCCCAGATTTTTCCCATTGTTCCCATTGTTCCCCATTCCCCTTTTCCAGATTTTCCCCATTTTTCCCATTTTTCCCACCTTTTCCC